AAGTATGGAAATACAAAGGAAGAGGAACAGTTGTAAGCAGACACTAGTGATTGGGACATAGAATGTGAGAACCATGAATGTAGGGAAATTAGATATTGTTAAGGAAGAAATGGAATGCATAAATATTGACATACTAGGCATTGGTGAGATGAGATGGACTGGCATGGGGCATTTTGAGTTGGATGATCATATAATATATTACTCTGGAGATGAAAAGGTGAGGAAAAATGGAGTTGCTTTCATAGTTAAAAAAGTCATTGCTAATGGGAGCAAGATGGCGGCGAAGGCAGAGACAACGTGGTGAGCTGCGGGAGTAGCGGACCACTTGGAACAGGCCCACTATGGCCTTCTACAGACTTCTGTTTATCAATAATTGAACAGTTGATGACTGGTCTTCAGTGAGGATTGAGGCTCAACAACAGGAATTCAAGGATTCTCAAGGAAGAAAGGGTGAGTGTCGCAGTTCCCAACCCCCGCCCACAGAGCCCGCACTGCGTCGCACCACAACTGCAGCTCCATAAAGCTCCCACAGCTGGAACCTATGGAATCCCTCGCCTGGGATGGAGAGTGGGCACCAGGCCTCCCCAGGACTGGTGCAGTGGAGCTGCCACATTGCAGCAAAGTGGACTGGTTCTGGGGAGAATTCTTGGAGCCAAGATGGCAGCGGCAGGGGAAGCGGGCAGCCACTGGCCTCCCACACACGAGATGAAGTGCAACTGCCAGCCACCCATGTGAGAGTTAACATGCAGGAGATGGCTTGCACCTGCCGGCTGCCTTTGCGGAAGATAGTGCGCGCCCGCCAGCCGCCCATGCTGGGGAATGGTGTGCACCCACCTGCTGCCCATGCACGAGCTGACGCGTGCCGGCCAGCCACCTGTGTGGAAGATGGCACTCGCCCGGCGGCCACCCATGCAGGGAGATGGTGCATGCCTACCAGCCGCCTGTGTGCGAGATGGCACGATCCCGCCGGCTGCCCGTGCTGGGAGGTGGCTCGCACCCACCAGTCACACATGTGGGAGATGGCACGCGCCTGCTGGCCACCCGCACTGGGGGATGGTGCACAACCGCCGGCCGCCTGTGCACGAGATGACGCGCGCCCGCCAAGAGGTGATGCACGCCCGCCAGCCACCCATGCTGGGGGATGGCACGCACTCACCCCCACTGGCTGCCCACGCACAAGATGGCACGTGCCCGCCGGTCACCCGCGTGGGAGATGACATGTGGGAGACGGCGAGTGCCCACCAGTCACCCACATGCGGGATGACATGCGCCCGCCGGCCACCGGTGCTGGGGGATGGCGCGCACCCACCTCCAGTGGCTGCCCATGCACGAGATGACACGAGACCACGGGTTGCCCGCACGTGGGATGACGGGCGCCTACCGGCTGCCCACACTGGGGGATAGCGCCCGCGGGCTGCCCGCGCACGAGATGTCACGCGCCCACCAGCCACACGCATGGGAGATGACGCACAAGAGATGGTGAGTGCCCGTCGGTCACCCGTGCTGGGGGATGGTACGCACTGGTGGTGCACGCCTGCTGGCCACCTTCATATAAAATAGGGCACATGCCCTAACACCCGTGGGGGGGACGTGTGCCCCGCCGCCGACAGGTTTGGGTTTCCTTGGAAAACCAGAGATGATTACCTACACAATGGATTGTTGAAAGTCACTGTGAGTTGTCTACTTGATGACACTTAACAGTGGCAGCATGTCCAAGAGGACTGACATTCTAAATGCACCACATATTTTGATCTGTTGAATGCTTCTGCCAAAAGCTGTTTAGACCTGGGGGGAACCTGTTCACAATTCTCAGGTTCCCTTTGCCATTTATAAAGGGGCAGGACAGTGACACCTACTTCAAATTATAGTATGACCACTTATGGGGAGGGGAAGTGGTGGTGCTGGAATTGGAGACGCTGTCCCTGGCCACACAGTCCTCGGTCAGGTGAGGGGACCAGATTGGGGTGGGGGCAATTAAAGGGGGAGTGTACCAGCCAGCCAATTGGAGAGGCTGCCCTGCTCAGGACAGGCTGTCTTGGGCCCTCAGCTCAGGGCAAGCCGTCACGGCCCTCTGCCCGGGGCGGGCTGTCTTCGGCCCTCAGCTCAGGGCAAGCCGTCACAGCCCTCTGCCCAGGGCGGGCTGTCTTCATCCCTCGGTTCGGTGCAAGCCATCATGGCCCTCTGCCCGGGACGGGCTGTCTTCAGCCCTTGGCTCGGGGTGAGCTGTCATGGCCCTCAGGGTGACCTCCTCAGTCCCCAGATTGTGCCATCTGACCCTTGGGTAGGAAAAAAAATTCCTAGGGTATCCAGAAAATTTTATCTAGGCTACTTTCTGCCACCCTCTCCCCCAGTAAACCTGAAAGCAAAACCCCTCTATTTGTAACTCACAAGTTTGTTCTCTCTAGGTTTGCTCCCTTTCCTATAGGTAACCTTACCACTGAGTTTTACTTCAGAACTGACCCCAAACCCAGTGCCAGTGACGAAAAGGAAATACAACTGCGAGCTAAAGAACAAAGGAGGATGGAGCCTCTGGGTTCAACCAGCCATCCCCACTGGACCCACCTGGGAAAACACTTTGCAGTCCAGAGGGGAGCAAATG